TCATGGCTAAAACGGAGTTAATAATAGTACCTACCTCCGAATGTTACCTTGAGCCTTCAATGAGAATATACTGAGAGCTAACATTTGTGGGGCATTTGCTTTGTGCCAGACATTTGCAAAGCCCTCCAGACCCGTTACCTCATTGAGGCCTCCCAGCAACCCTCTGCGGTAGGCGCTATTATTATCCCATTTTACAGATAATGACATAGAGGCTGGGAAGGGCAAAATGGCTTAAGTCATACTAATGAGCGTTACTAGGGAGTTGTGTGTGGGTTCCCTGTACTAGGCTATGTCTCTAATGCCACAGGCTTTAATGGTGAGGTTAATGTGTGGCAGAAAATTGAGGGGTGATTACTTTTATAATTCTTTGTTCCTTCTGCTCTGGTGCCTTCTCAGCCCCCAGCCTTGCATTCTCTAAGAACTCAGCCACCGGAAACCCAGCCCTGGCTTAAGATGGGGTGGGTGGAGGAGGCGGGGAGGGGGCTAGCTGTCACCTCAGTGACGGTTGAGCAGTGTGGGGGAGGGCATGCAGGGGCAGGGCTGCCTGGAAGGCAGAGGCGCTGAGCCTTGTCACTTGCTAATTTGGGCTCCTAGCTTCCCAGACAATGCCAGGGCAGTCAGGCTGACAGGTGTCGCCACTGAGGGGATGGGGCCCTGACTCCACAACCCACGGCCTTACAAGGCTTAGCTCCGCTGGCCAGACACTTCCTTCCTCGCCCTGTGTCCTCCCAAGCCCTGGGACATTGGGAGCCCATGGGACCAGAGGCTGGAATCCCCTCCTGGTCTTCTCCTGTCACCTCACCTACCCCCAACTGCTCCCTCTTCTTGGGTTGGCCCCTTTCTCCCTAGATCTGGGGAGTCCTGACGCCCATTCCCTCTCCTCCAACAACTGTTTTCTTTTCCATTGAGCTCGGACCTCTTGGGAGATCTGAGAGGGCACGGACCACATGGGCCCAGCTTCTGGTCAAGGCTACCTCAGACTGTCCCTGAACTTTATTTATTTATTTTATTTTTTTATATTTATTTATTTCTGAGACAGAGACAGAGCATGAGCAGGGGAGGGACAGAGAGAGAGGGAGACACAGAATCAGAAGCAGGCTCCAGGCTCTGAGCTGTCAGCACAGAGCCCAACGCGGGGCTTGAACTCACAAACCGTGAGATCATGACCTGAGCCGAAGTCGGTCGCTCAACCGACTGAGCCACCCAGGCGCCCCTGTCCCTGAACTTTAAAAAGAGGCTAAGGGAAGGCCATCAGCTTCGCCCTAGGGAAGGGGAGTCCCCGTGGAAGCCAGCCTCACCCTTAGGTCACCGCGCACCGTAAAGTCAGTTTCCGAACGAGGAAGCCAAGGTTCAGAGAGGACACTGCATCTGGGTCGGTCGCAGTGACCCTACAGGGGGTTCCAGTCGAAAAGGCCAGCAGCGGCATTATGTGAATGTCGGGGTGGGAGGCCCAAGGCTAGACTCACCGGCTCAGTATAGAAGCTGGACAAAGTACGTGAACAAGATCAGGCTGAGCATATCACACAAAACTGGTCACAGAATGGATCACAGGAGGGCAAGGGCTACCTCTGGAGACCAAATGAGAGAACAGAGAGCAAGAAGATGAAGGTCCTGGCGGGTTAGGGCTGGGGCCTCCAGGTGCGGCCAGATGGTGCATTCTTCAGCTCACATGGACCTCCGAGCGGCCAGGAGAAGGCCTGAAATGAAGGCCAGGCCTGGCTGTAGAAGCCACATACCTGCCCAATGTGAGTTGAGGGCACTTATGGGCCTCTGGCGAATGTTAGGGTCAAGGGTGGGGCCAGGGTTATATCACAGTTAAAAGGAGGGATGGTGGGATGAGGACCGGGGTATACTCAAGGGGACAGACATGCTTTAAGTGCAACGTGACGGGAGCACTGGGCTGGCCATTAGGAGACCTGGCCCACTCACCACGTGACCCCTTCTCTCTGGGCCTCTGTTTCCTCAAGGGCACAGTGATTGCACTGGACAATCTTCCTGCTCTGACATCCTGTGAACTTCTGAGCAAGTTCAGAGCTGACCTCTGGGAAGACCAGGCCCTTATGGGCTGGCCAGGAATGTGTGAGGGTCTGTTCCAGGCTGTCATGCCCAGACGACACTGGACCAGGGCTTATTCTTCTCACGGAGCCCCTCATCCCCCCAAGCCCACGGCTTTTCTGGCATGCCCCAAGCACATGCCCTGAACCATGAAGTCCTGGGGCCCAGGAAGGCATTACAGAGTGTATTAGTTTCTTATTGTTGCTATCACAAATTGCCACAGCTTTAGTGATTCAAAATAACCCAAGTTTATTGTCTTATAGTTCTGGAGGGCAGAAGTTCAAAATCAGTCCCGCTGATCTAACAGAGAAGGTGTCAGCCGGCCTGCTTCCCTCTTGAGGCTTGGAGGTGAGACTCTGTTTCCTTGACTTTTCCAGCGGTTAGAGGCTGCCTGCATTCCTTGACTCATGGTCATGTCTTTTGTCTTCAAAGCCAGCAGCATAGTCTCTTTTTTGATCTTTCTTCCTTCTTCAGGTGTCCTACTACTGAGCCTGATCCTAATGCCTCAGTCTAATAAGGACCCACGTGATTAGATTGGGCCCACGTGGATAATCCAGGGTAATTCTCCATCCTCAACTCCTTAATTGTATCAGATTTGCAAAGTACTTTTTGCCATATAAGGTGAAAGATGCACATCTTTTTCATTAGTACATGGGCAACTTTGAGGGGCCACCATTCAGCCTACCACAGGGAGTTCTGCGTGGGGCTCCCGTGGGGCCAGAAGGACTGTTTCTTTCTCTGTGTTTGAGGAGGGTCCTCCCTACCAGGTGAGCGTCTGTGTCAGACATGGCCTCAGAGCTCCTGGGATGGCTGCTTCTGCGCCACAGGCAGAATGGCAGGGGGGCGACCTGGCCCCTGGGCAGATATGCACTGAGAAGGGGGTGACCGCTCATGAGGGTGACAATAAGCGAGGAGGGCAGGAGAAAGGCTGCAGAGGCACATTGGCAGGGGCAGAAGGTGGGACCCAGGGCCTGTGCCATCCAGCACTGGCCCCTCAGCTGGGTGTGGGCAGCTCCTAGCCAGAGATCGCCAGCCTTGCAGGCGGGCTCCGGAGGCAGAGGCCTCTGGAGTGGTCCACACACACAGGAAGACTGGGGCAGGCGCCAGGACAATAGAGCATAACAGTCCCATTTTTGAAGGCCACCTGTGAACACACAGCAGGAAAGAGGCCCTAGAGAAGCTGACAGGTTGGGGTGGACCTGCGGGCAGAGAGCTGGACCACATGGCGTGGAGGAATGGTGTCGAAGCATTCAGGACGCTGGGGTCCGGGATGCGGTATCCCGGCCCCACTCTGTCTCACAGGGACTGAGGATGATAACACCCCAGAGTCCACGATTCATCGTGGTCCCTGAAGACCCTCTTTTGTTCTTCCATTCGTCAATCTGTTTTCTTTGTTTTTCCTTCCCAAAAAGCAGAATAATCCATGCAGATAATTCATTTTTGGGGGTGCGTCTTAAGTTCTTGTAAGAAAGTTCTTGGATAGGGGGGTGCCTGGGTAGCTCAGTCGGTTAAGCGACCAACTTCGGCTAAGGTCATGATCTCACAGTTTGTGAGTTCGATCCGCACGTCGGGCTCTGTGCTGACAGTTCAGAACCTGGAGCCTGCTTCGGATTCTGTGTCTCCCTCGCTCTCTGTCCCTCCCCTGCTCACATTCTGTCTCTTTCTCAAAAATAAACATTTTTTTAAAATGTGCAGAAAAAAAAAAAAAAAAGAAAGAGAAAGTTCTTGGATGATTTACAAATGTAATAAGCCAATACAATAAACTCCAGTAGACTCATCCCGGCCTTCAAACCACTTCTCTGACCTCCAGCTGCTCCTTGGCTGATACCTGCCCTTATTTTCCATTCTAGCCCCTCCACTCAGAGTCCCATGCCCCCAACCCCTATAACTTTCTAGACCCTGTCCCTTCTCTCTTGGCAGCATTCCAGCATGGGGACTTTCCCAAATTGACCTGACCAGAGCTGAATTAGAGCAGCCTCTGTTGGGCACTAGAATGGCAATGTCTAGAGGGCGGAGCCTTTCACCCCTCTGTAGGCTCTGTGGGTGTGTCTCCTTAGGATACTCCTGTCCACCAGCTCTCTCCCCCACCAAACATGGAGCATGGTAGAGCTCCCTAACTTCCTGCCACGTGTGAGGCTCTTGCTGGCCTCCAAGAGGGGTCAGTATCCTGCTTGTCCTGTCCTGGCCTGGGATCCTGGCCCAGGAGATGACCGACAATAATAGCCACAGGATTAACATAGTAGGCATTGTCTTTCTCTGACTATAGGGTGGGTATTATGTGTTCATCAACTGTCTAAAAATACCCAGTAAACAGGTGCAACCTCTATGGCACCAGCCCCCTGGACTCTGGAGACAGAGGGTAAGGCAGGGGAGAAGGTGAGTGAGTCTGAGTTCCAGGCATGGGATGAGGGGAGCCATTTGGAACCCAGGAATCCTGGATTCCTGGAAACCCACTTGGAGAGGGGTGCAGAGCATCTGCGGACCCTCAGACTTCCATATGCTGGAAGCGTGGGCCCTGCTGCTCCTGCCACTCAGCTCAGTCCCAGGAAGGCTCATTGGATTCCGCCTGCCGCGCTGTTAACGTCACCCCTTACATCACCCCCAAGCCCAGGCATCCTCCTCGGGCACGTGTACCAGAGCCACACAAGAGCCCCCAAATCCAGTCTTTAGCCCTCTTAGGCTTTTGGAGCATGGGCTCCAGAAAAGTGATCTCCACATTTCCCTGTGAGAGATGTAGGTCAGCGAGACAGTTCCCCTGCCCCCCCCCCCGGCGCGTCCCCCCCCCACCCCAGGCCTCCTGGCACCCTGCCCCCCACCAGAGCCCCTTGCTCTGCTATAGTCTCCTCGCTGCTCAGTGCCTCATCTGGTCTGGCCACTCATTCTCTCCCTTCTTCGGCTTGCATCCCCCTAGGTGGGTGCTGGTTTTACTCAGCTGGTCACCTCTGTGTGCACAGGATCTGGGTGCACTCCTGAGCCTGTACATGCGTGTCTTCAGCGTGTGCCTGATGTGTGTGCTGCGGCGTGTGTCTGCTCTGTGAGGGGTGTGTGTGTGGTGGGAGGGGGTGGGAGGAGGGGCAGTGTGTCTGTTCTATTTTTACTGGCCAGTTGCTGTCGCTCATAGTTTTCATAGCCTCCCCTCTGCTCTGCCCCTCACAGTCTGCGGTCCACAGCGAGACACGGGCCAGCCCAGCTCACAGAGACCGAACGAGGTAAGTGTCTGCAGCCCTGAACTTTGGATCGAGGTCGAGCCCAGAGAGAAAAACTGGGGCTTGAGTTTCAGGAGACACCCAGGGCCTGGGGATGGAGGGAGACATGTCTTGCTTGTGCAACTGGGTTGGCTGGTGGAACGGCCCCCAAATGCTCCCGCAGGGTTTCATCCTGTGCAATGACATCTCTCCTGTAAAACTGTGATTGGAGGTAAAATCCCCCCTGCCCATTTTAAGGCTAGAGCCAAGAGCAGAATTTCCCACAAGGTTGCTCAAGGGGCCCCAGGGCAGAGCCTAGCGGATTCTGTTTCACACCAGGCTGTCCAGAGGGCACCGAGGGGAAGGGGGTGGCATTGGGAATCAGGGAACGGGGGTGGCAGAGCTGCATTTGGAGGTTTAGGAGGAGCCTGGTGAGCAATACAAGTAGGCAATGCCTGCAGCAGAAAAGAAAGACGGTTCTCCGGTGTGTGGAGCTCTAGGGGAGCCTGGAACACGGGACCCCAGCCTCTGCTGACTGAGGAAACCATCTTGTCTCTTTGTTCTTTGTCTTTGAGGGACGTGCTCAGTTCCCTTTGCCCACCTGTCTGTAGAGTAGGGCAAGAAGAGGTGAGGGCAGACTGCCAACACTGCTTGGCAAGGGCCCCACCCCTGTCCACTGCTCCTGGCTCTGAGGAGTAGAAGTAGTTGGGGTAGGGGGGCTCTAGGGGGGAAGGCCAATGGTGACAGCATTTGGGGTTGGGGCATGAGAGTCTGAACGCATAACAGAGGGCTCCTTCTATTGGGATCCGTGACTGGGGGTGGGGTGAGGGCTAAAGGCAGCACCAGCCACCAGGTTTGGGAGACTGTCCCACAGCCGTCCTGAGATTAGGCTTTCCTGTTAAGAGCTCAAGATGGGGGTGTGGGAGTAACGATGCTTGCTAATAGTCAAAGAGGACTGGGGTGACCTTGAACTGGGGTCCAAGGTCAGGGAATGGGGAGCAGAGGGAAGCACATGAGCCTAACCAGAAACTTGTGTCCCTGATGATCAGGCGTGCAAAGGGATTGGTCCCGTCCGTAAAGACACACACACAATCACTTACACACTTACACTTACACAGACGCTCACACACTCAGCCTCATAGTCTAGTTGATATTCCTGTCCCACCCCACGGGGCCTCAGGGAAAGGGAAGCCCAGCTCCGAGTCAACCCCTGGCCATCTTTTGCTCCCTCCCTCCCCCCAGCGGTGGATTTTCTAATTATCTCCTTGCTTGCTACTTGTGGGGGTGAAGGAATGCTGGCTCTCCAGCCTCACATTTGCTGCTGCTATCTGCATCCTGACTCTGCTTATCAGGTTTCTGCTTGTCTCCCATAGGACCTGTCAAGGGGTCCCGTCTGGTGGGTATCAGAGCACAGGCTGGGGACCCCTTGGCCTGGCATTTGTCAATGGGGCACGCCGGGCGGGGGGGGGGGGGGCTTGGGGAGAGGGCAGACCCTGGAGCTTGGCAGGGGGCCCTGACTGGCCTGGGCAAGTAAGGCTCCATGCTGGTGACAGTGGGGCTGTCTGAGGGAGGTGTGAACATGGCCAAATGCCCACCAAGGGTGAGCCACATCCCTACTGAGCTGAGACCTGGTGCCCTCTGCAGACTGGCATTATGGGAGGCAATGATGATGGATAGACAGACCTGGAGGTGTTTCTTTACCAGCTAGTGTTTCTTTTTGGACTTCCTCGGGAGTCTTCAGAGGAGAGGAGCCCTCAGAATAAACAGCTGGTGATAAAATCTAATTTCAGCCAAATATCTCTGGAATTTATGGATTGTCTCCTACCTCTCCCTCTGTGCCCCAGGGTGACAGCTGAGACTCTGGGGTCACACTCCCTTTCCCCCTCCTCCACCCTAGGCCTCACCCTCCCCAGGCAGCAGGGGCAGAGGTGGGGGGCCCAGAGGGCTTTCTGACAGGGTGGGGAGTTTCAGGACAGGTGGCCAAGTCCCACTCGTGGGGTGGGGGAGGAGGCTTCGTGGGCACAAAGGGAAAGGAGAGAATTAAGGCAGAGGCAGAAGGTGGCTCTGGAATAGTTACTGGTAGCTACTTTCCAAGTGTCCTTTAGATTTTGCCCTGCCCCCTACCAAACCAGGTTCTCGGACCAGATTCGAACTCCCGATCCTGCGCTCCATGGCCCCCGATGCACACACGCCAGTTTCCTCCTCACTTCACAACCCAGCTCGGGATTCCTGTCCTGCCTTGCACACCTGCTCCCACCCGAGTTGCCCTTCTTTCCCCGATGTTTTGCACAGTCCCCACCCTCTACTGGAATGCTCTTTGTCCAGGCCCAGGCAAGATGGTGAGTCAGGTCTGGCTTTGGAGTATCCCCCTCGTGTAGCCTTGAGGACCCCCTTCTTGGCCTGGGTCCCCCAACTGTTGGGACTGAAGGGAGCCCCAGGATAACCCAGTCAAGGAGCTTCAAACTGTGCTGCACAGTCCGAGGTCGTCAAGAAGGCCTTGGGCCTCCTATGTAACCCGCTTCAACCTGGGCCGTTTACTCTTATTGATCACATTTGTGTTACTTCCAAGTAAAATTTGGTTTGAACGAAGGCTTTAAAGGCTTTTTTAAGTGGACAATTTATCTAACCTCGATTTTTGCAGAGGGGAAAACTGGCCTGGAGAGGGTCAGGATAAAGAACAGAGTAGAACACAGGATCTGCCCTGCCTCCTGGCTTGACCCCCTCCAGGGCCCCCTCGCCGCCCTACCCCAGGGGTGCAGGTTGCACTGCCCTCTATGGGAGTAGCATGCCCGGGCCCAATTACATTGCACAGTGTCAACAGCGCCCTCTGGAGTTGTGCTTTATGGCAGCTACCTGTATTCCGTCTTCACTCGGTGCCACTCATCTTTCAGACTCTTCCCCTCTCTGAGAACTTCATGCCCACGCTCATCCATAGGACAGACTCTCAACTCAGCACGTTGTTTAGGGCCCCGTGACCTCACTCTTCAAACAGAGTTCCATGGATTCCATTCTGTTCCCCACAGGGGTTGGTAAACTTTTTCTGGAAAGGGCTTGATAATCAGTATGTTAGGCTCTGCAGGTCACAAAACTTTCTGTTGCATATTCTTTATTTTCCAACCCTTTAAGCAAAAAGAGTTTGGGGGCCAGATTTGGCCTGTGGACTGTAATTTGCCAATCCCCGCCCTACATGCCCGGCCAACAGAGCCACTTTGGGTTCTGATATTGCTTCTTTGCTCTTCTAAGACTTCTCTCTCTTGTGAGTGAATGAGTAAGTGGGTGAGTGAATGAATGAATGAATGAATGAAATAAAGAATAAATGGACAAGTATTTATCCTATTCTGACCTGTTAGAATCCATTATGTCTGATTTCTTCTTCCTGTTGTCGGACACTCCCAGGCTGGGCTGCTGACACAGCCCCAAGGCTCAGCTGGGTTGGGAAGCAGGAGTCGTAACTTTCCCACACTGATGATTGCTTTGTGCCCGTAGGTGCTGCCCCCCCACCGCCACCACCATGCCTGAAGTGTAAGTAGCCCTGCCCCCACTGAGACTCCGGGAAAGCAAGGCCCATTGCTACAGATTTCAGCCCCATAGTTGAGGCGCCATCTGTCCAACCCCTGAAGCAGTTCCCCAGGAGATCAGATTCTAAAGCAGAACCAGTCCTGAGTGCCTGGGTCCCCAGTGTTACTGTGCATCGTCCTAGCCTTTGAGCAGAACTCATGCTCCAGGTTGCTTAGGGGAGAGCTTTGAGGCCTGTTTCAGAGTTTGTCCCTGCACCGATCAGATGAATTGCATGTGCCAGGCCATGATTTGACATTGGCCCAACAGATGAACAAAGCACTGGAAATTTGCCCACAGGGCCAGAGACAGAAGCTTTCACGTTGCTGGAACCCTGTGTTGAGGCTTCCCTGAAATTCCACCCCTCCTCCCTGGCTTACAATGACTAGTATCTCCCCGCGAGAACCTCCAGTAGCCCAGGGAGCCATTGGATTTTTATTCCGTTCTGCTGGTCCCCTTGTCTGATGCCTGATTTCCTTCCGGTGTATGATTGGCACCACACCACCCCTGTCCAAGCTTGTCTACATGGTTCTGCTGTTGCATATGTAATATCAATGGTTCACGCTCTGTCTTCTGTTCTCTCCTGTCCTTCCTGTGGTGGATGCCTGAAGCGAGGTAAGTGAGATTTGGGGTATCTTTGTTTTGGTTAGTCTTGAGACTGGTGAAGGTGGCATAAGCAGTGTGTGTGGCAGGGGGCGGGGGCAGGGCAGGTGGCCAGTGGCTAAGAAAGTCCCCGGTGAATAGAAATCTTGGGTGAAGATTCCAGGCAGGGGCTTCTTTGGGCCCAGGGTGGTGGCCCCGGTGCACAATCTCCCTGGAAGGTCGTCCTGGGGCTAGCTAGGGCCACGGCACAGCTGGGGGTGATTCTGCACCCATGCCTTGCTGTGCACCCTCGCTGAGCACGGAGCAAGTACTTCCTCACTTGTTCTGCTCACTTGTCCAGCCCTGGGGGACCATCTTGTTTTTTGCAGAGCTGGTCCTATGCAAAGCCATATTTGAAGAGTAACAAGGCATCATCATTGGGCTATTCTACCCCTGCCCAGTGACCAAACATTGAGGGAGGAGCACAGAGATGTCCTTCCACTCCCCTCAGGTCTTAGGTAACTCTGAAACAATCCAGATTTATCAGGCTGCTGAGAACACAGCCTGTATATTCAGCCCTGGGTTAGGAACTTCAGGGATAGGGCTGTGGACTCTGAACTGGCAAGGGTGGGAATTAGTAGCACCGATGGAGGGGGCATTTGGCACAGAGATTCTCAATGAGATTCTCAGTACACCATTTTTCAATAGCCATACGAATTTCTTTTTTTCTTTTTAATGTTTATTTATTTATTTTGAGAGAGAGAGAGCAAGAGCACGGGAAGGGCAGAGAGAGAGGGAGAGAGAGAGAATCCCAAGCAAACTCTGCGTTGTGAGGGCAGAGCCTGATACGGGGTTCCATCTCCTGAACAGCGAGAGCATGACTTGAGCTGTAATCAAGCATCAGACGCTTAACTGACTGAGCCACCCCGGCGCCCCACCATATGAATGTCTAAGTTTTGCTGAGGCTCATAGTAAAGTGAGTCACCACTGATTGATGATGCAACGAGGTGTCCCATAAGCTCACCAAACAGCGGGGGAACGATATTGCAACAAAACCTTTCCATGAGTACATTACAGTGTGTAAACCGTGAGTGGTAATGATTATAGCCACGGGCCGTTTCTCCCACGAGCACACCAATCTGAGACGCAGTCCCAACCTCGCTTGAGAAGGTGAAGGGACAAACAGAACTGCTCTCGCCAGTCGGATTAGAAGTCACACATTCCACGCACAAAATGTAACGTCATTTTTCTCCCATTTTCTCCCGCAAATCCTGCTCACTTCTACTTTACACACTAGCCTAACAAACCAGAGCTATACTCTCCCGGCCCGCAGCACGGTATAGTCTATGCTGCTCACTGGTAACAATGAGAATCGACAACCTGTGGTCAAGAAGAGATACAAATGCTCAGAAGGCCTCAATCCTCATCAGTTAGGAACTGCACAGCCCACCTCACCTTCGCCTCCCCCGAGGGAAACGCTGCCGTAGAGCTAAGACTTGTGAGAACATGTCCAGTTGGCAGGAACATATCAAGGATTTTTTTTAATAAGAAAATAAGGTTAAAAAAAAATTTTTTTTTTAACGTTTATTTATTTTTGAGACAGAGAGACAGAGCATGAACGGGGGAGGGGCAGACAGAGAGGGAGACACAGAATCCGAAGCAGGCTCCAGGCTCTGAGCTGTCAGCCCAGATCCTGACTTGGGGCTCGAATTCATGGACCGTGAGATCATGACTTGAGCCAAAGTCGGACGCTTAACCAACTGAGCCACCCGGGCGCCCCCAGAAAACGAGGTTTTTATACCTGGGGAAGATGAATACGGCTGATGTTGACATTAAAAAAGCTGTGATGGCTAAAAAGATATACTTCTTCACGTATGAAATTCACAGCTTGTTCCTCTGACATAACAGATCATCAAGGTGTTGGTACATTACTATGTAGAGCACTAACAGGTGCCTCTCTTTCATGCCTTCCAAAGGATTTGCACGTCCACGATGTCATTCTGTCTGTAATAACTCTGTGGACTGAGGAAGGTGGGTCTCAGCATCCTTATTTACAGACGAGGAAGGAGGTGTCCACAGAGGTCATGTGACCCACGTAGGCTCCCACCAGCGTTAGAACCAGGATTGAAAGCGGGGGTTTCGGCCTCTAAGTCAAGGTAGCTGACTACAGAATTCTCTGAATTTGAGGGGCTCAGTCACAGAGGTGAGGGACCTGTTAAGGGACCCTATGGCGAGGATTCCGGGTAGTGATGGTGAACCTGGCTGGCACGCACGCATCCTAGCCTAGACCACATTTCCGGTTTTGCAGACTCTACCTCACCACCTGTCTCTCCCCTTCTCACCCTCAGAGAAAGCCCAAGATCACTGCCTCCCGCAAACTGCTACTGAAGGTGAGGCTTCGTGCTGGCTCTGGGGGACATCCAGTGGGAGACGGAGGAGGGCATGTGGTGCAGACTCTGTGGGGGTGTGGAGGGTTGTGGGGGGGTGAAGAGGAAGGAGACCAAAGTGAGGGTGATGAGGGGGCAGAGGGGACTCAGCCATTGCCTGAGACTGGTGGTCAGTGAGTGGGATCCTGAATCTATGGAGTCCTGGCACCTGCCCAGATTCCTGAGAGGAGGCAGTGACCAGCTTCAGGGTGGCAATCCCCTGGTGGCAGGCAGAGGGCCTTGCTTTATTTTGGCAAGAGTTTCTCTCTTTGGAGCTCTGTGGCCCAGAACAGACCAGAAATGGGTAAGAGGGAGACTGAGGGAAAAACAAGTTCCAGGGTCTAAGAAGTGCTGTGTGCAGTCTCTCAGTGCTTGCTCTCACATGGTCCTGCCTGCAGCCAGCCCATACACCTGCACACCCCGTGGGACTATCTTGTTCGTACTCTCCAAGGGCTGCCTGGGCTGCACCCTGACCAGTATGAGAACACGTTGCTTGTAGAGTCACAGGCAAGAGCAGAGCCTTCCCCTCTGGCCCTGATGCTGGGGGCAGGGGGGCGGAGGGAGAGGATGTGGGGAATATGAGGGCCCCAGGCCCCGGGGTCAGGAGGCTCTGTCCCATCTAGAGCCTGATGCTGGCCAAGGCCAAGGAGTGCTGGGAGCAGGAGCATGAGGAGCGGGAGGCTGAGAAGGCACGCTACCTGGCTGAGCGCATCCCCACGCTGCAGACCCGTGGCCTGTCCCTCAGTGCTCTGCAGGTGAGTCTGCACGGCTGACCCCAGGGCCCAGCTGGCAGGAGCCTGAGCTAACACTGGCTCCAAGCTCGGTTCATTTACAAGTGGCTCTTCCCTTACAAGGTCTCATGTCATCTCATAGACCCCTGGGAGGTGGTGCTGGTAGATCCCATGTCACAAGCGCAGGAAGGGAGACTCAGAGCGGGGAGGAGCAGCTTTTTGGGTGGGGCCAGGCCAGGGCTGGGGCCCCACATCAGACTAGTGCCAGGGCCTGGAAGGTGTGCAGTGGGGTGGGAGTGGGGGGGGATCTTGGGAGGCCCCATTTCTCCCCTTCTCCTGCAAATAGGTTTTTAATGTTTGTAAAACACTGATACCTGTTTACATGCCAGTGACTGCAGAGAAAAAGAGACTGGAAGGAAATATACCAAAATGTCACCAATGGTCATCTACTGGTGACATCACTCGTTATTTTTTAAAATTTTTTAAATGTTTATTTATTTTTGAGGGGGGGAGAGAGATAGAGAGAAAGAACAGGGGAAGGGCAGAGAGAGAGACACACACAGAATCTGAAGCAGGCCCCAGGCTCTGACCTGTCAGTGCAGAGTCCAACACGGGGCTCGAACCCACAAACCACAAGATCATGACCTGGGCCGAAATCAGACATTTAATCGACTGAGCCACCCAGGCACCCCACTCGTTATTCTTATTATGTTCTTTTTGTTTAACACATAGTTTTCAAATTTTCTACAATTAACTGATTTTTACAAGAAAACTTTTTAAAGAAAACAGTTACATTCAGAAAGGAAAACAAAGGGCTTACACACTGAGCTATCAGAAGCCATGAACCTCAGAGAAAAGGGGATGGTCAGGTCCTTTCCAGAATGTAAATCTTGCAAAGGTGCTGGGCATGGAGGCAGAAAAGAAAGGCTGGGGTCCCCAAAGCTCCTGTCCCCTCTTTTCTGTTTGTGCTTGATTAACCTTTCTTCCTCCAGGACCTCTGCCGGGACCTGCACGCCAAGGTGGAGGTGGTGGATGAGGAGAGATATGACATTGAGGCCAAATGCCTCCACAACACCAGGGAGGTGAGCCTGTAGGAGTAGAGGGCAGGCTGGGTGCGTGGTGGGGCGATGTCCAATGTCCGGGGCAGGTGGGGGGGCGATGATGCTGCAGCCGTGGACTAGGTGGGTCCCCCTTCTCCTGCAGGGTCTGGGAAGTGGCCACTTGGGAAGCTCTGGTCTCTCCACTCCAGCCCCTAGGACTGGAGATGGGCAGAGAGGATAATCACACAGATGAAAAGCACAAACTTCCTCCCAACCGGCCACACGGGCTCCTCAGCCTAAGAAGAGCTGCCCTCTTTGTTCACCCACACAAACAATCATATGCTTGTTAATAACATCTTCCCTTTGTGAATGGCTTTCATGTGCATTGCACCCTTTGATCCTCCCTACGCCCCCCGTGGATGAAGCAGGTGCTATTATCTGCACGTTACAAAGAGGGACGCTGAGGTTCAGAGAGGCTGAGAAATTTGGTCCAGGTCACACAGTGGTGATTGTGGGACCAGGTCTGGTCGCTGCCCCCCCGCCCCCACGCCCACCCACTGCAGTGCCCTGTGCTCCCTCGGTGTGGGGCGTGGGAGCATTAGCTCAGTCCAGACCCTGCTCCAGTGTGATGGGGCAGAACTCAGAAGGGCAGGACTCCTGATGCTGTAGTGAGCTGCTCCTGGGTGCTTGTTCAAACAGGGAGGAGGGGACGTAGTGGGATGGGACACCACTTTGTTTCTTCCTACTTCTCCCATCAGGAATGATGGTTTGTGGCATCACTAATCTTCCCAGAATTCCCTCTAGAGATAGCACCCTGGAGTGGAGTTCATCTGCCCCACTGGACCAAGGCTGTGCCCTCAATGAACTGCTTTGAAGGCTCACTGGGAGGGGCTACTTAGAAGCAGAAATGGGGCCACAGGAATAAGAGGCAGCAGCCCCCCCCCCCCAAACAGGGCTTCCAAACCAGACTTGTGCTGAGTTTGGTGGGACTGCCCTATCTATTCACCCTACCCTGACAGAGAGGGCTAATGTGCTTTATCTGTCCATTTACTCTTTCATTCATTCGTCAACAAACACATTGTGGCTATTTGCAAAGTGATGAGTGGGTCTGAGTGTCCCAGAGGGTCTGGCCTGGAAGCTGGAGAATTTGGGGGGTGGTTTTGGCTGGAACTGTCGAAGTCTGAGGTCCTCAGGAAGGGTGCCCTGGGGGTGCACGCAGTCTCTCCAGTGAACCCTCGCTTCTTCTCACCTGCAGATTAAGGACCTGAAGCTGAAGGTACTGGACCTCCGTGGGAAATTCAAGCGTCCACCACTGCGTCGGGTCCGGGTTTCAGCTGATGCCATGCTCCGGGCCCTACTGGGCTCCAAGCACAAGGTGTCTATGGATCTGCGGGCCAACCTGAAGTCAGTGAAGAAGGAAGACACAGAGAAGGTGAGGAGCCCTCTTCTCAGAACCTTTCACTCCCTGTCCCATCAGCCTTTACCAGTCACTCCATCACATAGACTCAGGCAGGAGCTCCTGTTGGAGGCCAGGCAGCCTGTTAGAACATTCTAGAACCCTCTGGGAGACCAGTGATGAAGTCTTATTCTGTTTTGGAAGAAAAAAGACTTGCTCCCTTCTCTCAGGCTGCTCTCAATCTGAGGAGGAAACTGGGACATGAAGAAAGCCAGACCAAGCAATAAAGTAAAAACTCTACCCAGTGTGAAGAGAATGTGGAGTTAGGATGACAAGGGAGACAGTGACCTCTGTCGCTACTGGGGAAAAAAGACAGCAGATCATTGTGGTCATGGGACCCATGAGCACAGAAATTAGAAAACTGAGTTCAATCACTCATTCAGGAACAAATCACTCAAAGCTGATTGAGCTCAATATATGTGCCCAGAATCGATGGGCTCTAGAAGGAACATGGATGAAAGGCATGGTCTCTGGCCCTAGAAGCTTCATAAAGAGAAGAGATGGCCAGGCAATATGCTGATAAAATGGGACATGAGCCACTTTATGAGGAGGTAGGTTAGAAGGGGTGGCCTTGAGCTGCCTTGAGCACCAGACCAGGAAGTTGGTGTAGGTCTGGAGGCAATGTTGGGCTGTGAGTTCACTGGGGTGGGAACTAGCCCCAATCATCCAGAACTTCCAGCTGACACAGCCTCCTCCTTCCTGTGGAGCTTGATATGTGTTTATCTCTGAATGTGTCCTTGGACCTCACCAGCTGGGTAGGGCTGTCAGCATTTCCTTTTCTTGAAGAGACTGACTTTCTTTCCTTCTTCTTTTTTTTTAATGTTTAAATGTGTTTATTTATTTTGGGAGAGAGAGAGAGAGCATGCATGCACATGTGTGAGCAGGGGAGGGGCAGAGAGAGAGGGAGAGAATCCCAAGCAGGCTCCACACTGGGGCTCCCACATGGGGCTCGATCCCACGAACCGTGACATGACCTGAGCCGAAATCAAGAATCAGGCGCTTAACCAACTGAGTCACCCAGGGGCCCCGAGGAGTCTGACTTTCTTTCCTTTTCTTTTTTTTTTTTTTTAATGTTTATTTATTTTTGAGAGAGACAGAGAGAGAGAGCAATCAGGGCTGGGCCAGAGACGAGGGAGACACAGAATCCGAAACAGGCTCCAGCTGTCGGCACAGAGCCCGACGTGGGGCTCCAACTCACAGACTGCGAGAACATGACCTGAGCCGAAGTCGGACGCTTAACCCACTGAGCCAGCCAGGAGCCCCTGGAGTCTGACTTTCTAGCACCTAGTTTCTTTTATGTCTGGAGGGCCTGGCTGCCCTCTGGCCTGCTAAGTCTCTGATGTGTGTGTGGCCTGCCCACAGGAGAGGCCCGTGGAGGTGGGCGACTGGAGGAAGAACGTGGAAGCCATGTCTGGGATGGAAGGCCGGAAGAAGATGTTTGATGCCGCCAAGTCTCCCACCTCACAGTAGAGGTACCTAGAGACCAGCTCCCTTCTTCTTGAGCCCACCAGAATCTAACAGATAACAGGGGCTCCAGAACGATGGCTGGTGGGTTGGGCCCAGTGTGGTGCATCGAGGAGAGTCAGCTCTGCTCAACTCAGCCCTGGCTCTAGCAACCTAAGGCCTTGGGCACATCATTTCTGCTTTGGGGCGTTGTTTGTTACCCTCATCTATAAAACTGGAGGCTGTAGCAGATCAGTGTTCTCCAAGCGTGGTCCTCAGACCAGTGGTATCAGTACCACCTGCTAATGATCTGGCCCCATCCCTGAGCCATTGAATCAGCAACTCTGGGGTGGGCCAGCCCTGTAGGTATTCTCCTGCAAGACCTTGAGAGCCACTGGGTGAGACGATCCCTGGGGGCTCCCCAGCTCTGACTTGCTGAACATCTAAGCTTTTTAAAATACCTCCTGGCAAAGTACCCCAAATCACAGTCTCTGGTTCCAGGGGGGTTCTATTCAGAGAAGACAGCCACCCCCCACCCCCCCTGCTTCTCTGAGGAAGTTGCTGGAGAAAGCAGCAAAGTTAGGCCTCATAAAATCCCCATGGGAGTGCCAAGGGGATGTGCAGTAGGGCAGAGGTCTGCTAAATAGCCCTGGCAGGGCAGGCTTTCCAGAGCTCTGAGCTCCCTGAGGAAGTGATAGGCAAGGGTTAGTAGGTACAGGAGAAGGGCGTGTCAGAAGGCTGATGTGCAAGTAAGAGCCCAGAATCGGAAATTAACCAGTGGTGGAGGAGGAGCCACAATGGGGAGGAGCGGTGATTGGGCTTCAGAAAGGAGAGGGGAGGGAGCTTGGGCCCTGGGCTGCCAAGCTGAGGCTTCATAGGCGCCCCTCTGGATGGTGGTCCAGCCCCCGGTGTGCTAGGGGTGAGAAGTTCCAGAACTGTATCTCCTGCGGGTAAATCTGTAAAATGGCTTCTGCCTCTTTGTCCCTACAGGCCGGCTTGCTGCACTGTGCTCTGAGCTTCCCCTTCTCCTACCTCCAGCCTGCCTCACCCGCCTCTCTGCATCCCACCCTGCATTTCGGAACATCCCATCCTGCTCCCACCTCTCCCCTCCAGCCTGAGTGCCCTCCTCTGGAAGTGGGATTAAACAGACACCCAAGAGGACAAACACACCAGTGTCTGAAGAGTTCACCCTAGCAGGGTATAGACCCTGGCCAGCCGTGGTACAGCCAAGCTGAGGAGGAAGAGGTGTGAGAGCATCTTCCCTCTGGCCCCGTGCTGCATCCCACCACTGCTTCTATGACATGTAGGGTGCCCCCCAGGCATCACAGCTTCTCCATTAAAAACCAGGGTTCTGGTCATTTCTGTAGCTCTGGCTGTGAGTGCTCAGAAGAAAAGGAAAGACAGGGAGTCTGAAGAGATGGCTGTTCTGGGCTCGAGGCATGAGCTCAGGGTCCGAATGGAGGTCTAAGGAGTTGGCAGCTGCCTGCTAAGGTCCCTCTGGGACCCCTCCTGCGCAGCCCCAGTGACATTAAACAGCACCCCGTCACCATCCAGGACACTCAGATTACCCAGGCCCTAGCCTCTGGAACAGCCCCAGCCCAGCCTAATGACTCCAGCCAGCAGAATGGGCTTCTGCATTCAAAGCCCCTTGCCCTGCTTGATTTCACAGTTCCCTTTCTCTGAAAACCTGCATTATCTCTCCCTGGAAGCTGCTGGATATTCCTGAGTATTCTGGGCTGAGAGGTCAGGGTGCTTTCAGCCCCTTACCTGGTCCTACAGGCCTGGGCAAGAGTTACTCAGCGCCCTGGCCCAGGCAGGAGGGACAACTCGCAGTTCTAAGTCTGGCCACTAGGCGGCTCCTTCCCCATCGCCATCCCTGGGGCTGTCCTTTCCATCTGATCCCTGCTCCCTCCACCTTCACCCACTTTCCTCCCAGTTTCTCTTCACACTCCTGGACTGGTCATATCCTCCATATCCACTTGCCTCGGGGTGGGCCGACCAGTGGTCTGCCCTCTAGGTGAGGTCCTTTCTCCATTCCACTGATATCTGGACCCAAAGCCTGATGAGGGGTGTGAGCCTGCTGGGGTGGAATCAGGGGAGGGGACAGCCTCCCCCGCTGCCCTCCCACATACCAAGGAGAGTGGCTCCTATGGAACAGAGACCAAAGTTCTGGGTAGAGCAGAGCCGGGCTGTTCAGGGCGGTGTCCTGGTGACTCCTGAATTAAGCCTACAAAGAAAGTGGCTGTCCCCGACCGGCGCCCTTTGACTTTTTGATCACTTCAGCCCTGGTCCCAGAGAGGCTGAGCTGTCTGAGGAGTCCCCCTTCCTCCCACCCTGTGAGTCCCTGTTCTGCCCTCTGCTCCCAGGGTATTTTCTGCCACAAATGCCAGAAGCTGAGTACAAAGTGCAGCGCCAGCTACTTCCTGGGGCAGGCCCTCGGACCCAGATCTGCTCAGCCTGCCAGCCCCTTGAAGGACCAGCAGCTTGGGATGCGTTTAGGGAAGGCAACACTCTGCCTGGGGTTCTTGCGACAGCCAGCTCAGTAGGCAGAAAGGCAGATGTGTGCAAAGAGCACAGCTCCTACCATACTCAGAAAGCCTTAGGCGTGGACACACCCAGTCTCTCTCATACGCACACACGAAGCTGGAGAACCTGATGGGGCCGGTCTGTACACAGAGGATGGGGTTGGGCTTCGTGCCCGGGCAGCCACAGAAACCCACCCTTCCCTGCCTCGGAGGGCTCCTCTCGGCTGGCCTGGGTCCAGAGCATGGTCTCCTTGCTTTGCCTCTTCTCAGCCCTTTGAGAGAGCCTGGCCCCAAGTTCCAAAGCCAAACATCAGTTCCACCAGTCGACTGTTAACCTGGGGCCCTGGCAGACTGGGGTCTCCACCCTGCCCTACAGAGGCAGGAGACCAGCCCCAAGTCTGACTCAAAACAAACACCTCGGTGCAGAGAGCCCTTGGGGCCAACTCAACACACCCAAGGTGGATGCCCTCTGGGAAAGGGCCACGGGCATCCAAAGGCTTTCCGGAGGTCATCATTTGGTTCTTCCTGCTTCCCTGCACGGCTGAACCTAATCCACCTCCCGTGAGGGTGGACCAAGGGCAAAGAGGCAAAACGCTTCCAGAAAGCCAAAACCACGGGAACTGAGTGGGTGAGGGAAGAGGCAGGCGCCGTCACAGGGCTGCTTTGGGTGGGACAGCAACCTTGGGAGGGGGCTGCTCATTTCGTTGTAGCTGTGAACAGGGCCTGGGTGGGAGGCATGGTATCCGGAGAGCCACGCTTCCGCCCCTTTCCCCATGGAGGGCCAGCACGACCCGGACCAGATACAGGGGGAGCTGAGCTGGGACCTGGGCCTCCCACTGAAAACAGATCCCACATGCAGCCCATTTACTAAGTACCAGGCACCACACTGTACACAGCTTCACACTTGACCTTCACAACAGCTCTATGAGAAAGGTGCTATTCCTGGGGCATAGAGAGGCTAGCGTCTTCCCGTGGCCGCACAGGTAGGAGCCAGGATTCAACCCAGGCAGTCTGTTAGAGCCCGTATGCTTAGTCACTATTTTAATAAGAATAAATATGATGTTCAATGCTTTATCATAATTATATCATTACATTCTCCCAAAATGCTAACAAATAGATCCTCTCGTCTTGGATTGGTGGGTGAGGACGTGGAGGCTTGGAGAGGTGAAGTAATTCACCCCAAGTCACAGGGTTTGGTAGCCTGGAGCCTCGGTCAACCTGCCTTTGGGGTAGTGCTTCCTGGGGCCTGACTTACCACAAAGAGCCCAAGCAGCCACCTTCCGGAAGGGACACGGCGGGGGGTCAGGGGCCCACCCTATGCACCTGAGGAATCCCAAAATCCCTACCAAAAGGGAAGGCATTCAAATGAGATACAAATGTTCCCCAACTGAGCCAAGGCAAGGTCTTCCTCCAACACTGGGGCCAGAACTGGGGGTGGAGGGACGGGGTGGGGGGGGCGATTTCTTGGGGGAGGCCTGTGGTTAAGCTGGGTAAACGTCTCCCCTGCAGCTCGAGATGGACCTGCTGCGCCTGTCTCCTTGGTAGGAAGGGCCAGGGCAGAATGCCACCTGCGAACGCCCTTGCCTGCCCCAGAGTCCTCGGGAGGCCAGCGGCTGCCTCTCCCTTCCCACGAGCGCCCTATCTCCATGGGGGCAGGAGGCCAGGCCCCCTGTCTGTCTGGAGCCCACCTCCAGCAGGTTGATCAGGGCAGGCCCAACGTCCAGGGCTGCTGGGGCTAAAGTGCCCTGCTGAAGGAGGGAGCTGAGTTAAACATTAGCCCCAGAGGCCCCCCACGAAGTAAGTCAGACTCCCCGCAGGGATCTGGGCTGGGCAGCCAGGGGGGCGGTTCCGTTCCAGCTGGGTGACCAAACTACTGAAGGCTGGGACAGGTTGCTGGGACCAGTGCAGGCGGCAGCCTCCTCTCATGACCGAATCAGTGCTCTCTCCTCAAAACTCCCCAAAGCTTGCCAGCCTGAGGCTCCTTCACTGGAGCTGAGGAACAAGGGTATTCTCTTACTCCCCAGACACACTCCTAAGCTGGCCAGTGGGTCCCTTTGGCTGAGCAGTGTGAGTCTCTATAACCCCCTGGCACCGGCACAGAGAACTGCGGTCAACATCTGGAGGCCCAGAGAAGGAAAGTGACTTGTTCAAGGTCACAGACAAAATTGGGGATGAAAACACAGGTCCTTGGACCCCCAGTCTACTGAGAAAACTGGATGTGGGTGGAGGTTTGCTATCCCAGCCAGAGGCAGAGGCCTGGTGACCTGAGTGGGTGGCCCACCTCTGGCCTGGCTCAGCACCCGTCTGGCTCCAGTGCCAACAACTACCCCTGTCACCGGTCAGCACAGGCTGGGTGAGCCCGACCCTCTAGGTTTCGGAGAGAAGCATGGCCTCATCTGCGTGTTCCAAACTGGGAGCCCCTGGGGGAGGAGTGTGTGTGTGAACATTCCCAGCTATTCATCTGAAGGTGAGCCAGGTATGTGTGCACACAGCATGCAGTGGCTTGCCTGTCACAGAGTGGGGTGGACGCCCGCGTGTCCCTTGTACTGGTGATTCGCGGATGCAACTCTCCTCATGAGCTCTTTGTGACCCAAATTTCAACTGCCCCACTGTGCTGCTGAGGAAGCCAGGGCCCCTGGGGTGAAGTTTCCACAAAGCTAAGTGTACTCAGTGACAAGGACTGACGGACGTATGCATGCCTTCGTCTTACTATTTTAGTATTAAAATATTCTTTACTTATGGAGCAGAGGATGGTGGGTGGTAATTGTCTTTTAATGTTCTTCCTTTGCAAAATAAAATGGTAGCAACACCATTTGGGGATTCGTATTTAAAAAGTATAATGAGGGGCGCCTGGGAGGCTCAGTCAGTTAAGCGGCCAACTTCAGCTCAGGTCATATCTCGCGGTCCGCAAGCTCGAGCCCCGCGTCAGGCTCTGTGCTGACAGCTCAGAGCCTGGAGCCTGTTTCAGATTCTGTGTCTCCCTCTCTCTCTGACCCTCCCCCGTTCATGCTCTGTCTCTCTCTGTCTCAAAAATAAATAAATGTTTAAAAAAAATGCTTTAAAAATAAATAAATAAATAAATAAATAAATAAATAAATAAAAAGTATAATGAATTTGTAAAAACCCAAAGCCAGGGAACCACTGCTGTGTGTGTGTGTGTGTGTGTGTGTGTGTGTGTGTGTGTGTGTGTGATTACTTCACTTATTTGTTTTCTGCCTTCCCGGAGAGTGGTCTGGCAGTTGTTTAGCGGGTATATATGAATGAGAATAAAACTGAAATGTCAGGGTGTGACTTACAAATCTGATGGTTTGGGGCCAGGGGATCCCCCTAAATCTCCACTCTGGCCTCTTTAGAGAAGGGGAAGCTGCCCTAGGAGCTTTGTTGATAGGGGTTGAGGGTGGGGATTCCAGACATCAGTTCTGGCAGGGGAGGAGAGAGATGACCCCTCCCCCACTGCTGGCTGGGAAGTCTTGAGAACCCCTTGCCTTTGACCTGGGAATTCCCCATGTGACATGCCCTACCTTCGCGGATTCTCCCCAGAGGAAGTGACCGGCACATGCCTGCGGTTTTTAATGTCTGTACATTGAAGAGCTATGAAATGAACACCCCTATGCCAACCACTCACGTAAAGACGGAGGGGATTGCAAATACTTTCAAAGGCCCTTCCTCTCCACAAAGGTAAACACAATCCTCAACTCTGTGTTTACTATTCTCTTGGTTCTCTTTACAGCGCTGCTCCGCATTTCGGAATTTCTACACAAGATATCGTTTGCTTTTGCATTTGCGGGGGGTGGGGCGTGTAAACCCGACAGAAATGCATGCTTCTTGCTTTTTCCACTGCCAGGTGAGGGTTGTAAAATTCACTCCTGTGGATACACTTAGCTGTAGCTCATCTCCAGTGCTGTGAAATGACCAAAACGCCATCGCTGACTCATCCGTGGTCCCGTTGGTGACACTGAGGTGGTTTCCAGATTTTTGCTACTATAAACGGTGCTGCCTGGAATACTCACGAGCCTCTCTTCTGCCGCTCCTGCTCGAGAGTTTCTCTCCCCAGGTGTGCAATTGCTGGGTCGCCAAGAATGATATCTTCACTTTTGCTACTCTGTACCACGTGCACCCTCACCGGCAACTGTGGTAGCTGCTGATGCTTGATATCCTGGTTTTGCCCCATCCTGGAGGCCAAGGGATACTTAGAGTCCCCCCACCTCCACCCCGATCTCAGCTTCTCCCCGACCCAGCTCCCAAAGTTACACTCGGCAGGGTTTTCAGACTATTTGGGTTTTACTGTTCTTCTTCCCAAAGCAAGTGAGTGCAACTCTCCAATCCTTTACCAAGCACCTACTGCACTAGGCATAGAGTTGAGGGGAAACTGAGGTGAAGAAGGCATTTGCTCTCTTCTCAAGACACTCACAAGACACTCAGGTTGTCAGCACATGGGCACAGATATCTTGAACATTAACACGTCCCTCCCCCGCCTGTCCTCAGGGATCCCTCCATCCTCCCGCCTGCCCCACCAAAGAAAACAGGCGAAGCTGTCTTCTGAGCACCCACACTCCCGCAGCCAGCCATCTTTGGACAGCTCCCCCTGGCTTTCTCCAGGGACCTGAAATTCTAATGAGTAGAGGCCAGGGATGCTATTGACCATCTTATAATGCAGGGACAGTCCCCACCACAGAGAATTATCAGGTCCAAAATGTCAATAATGTGGAGGCTGAAAAACCCCTAGTGGTCTAAAGTCACCCTCCTCCCTAAGCCTCCTCCTCCCCCTGCGTCCCAGTCTCATCCATGGCACCTGCATTCACCCAGCCCCTCAGGCTAGGGAGGTGAGAGTTCTGGATTTCTCCTACTTCACCACCTGCCATCAGCCAACTCAGTCTTGACAATTCAACTTTCCAAGGCTCTTGCTCTCCAACACCTCTCCCCTCCCTCTCCCTGGCTGCCCTTGCTCAAGCCCCTTTCATTTCTTTTGTGGACTATAAAGAATGGCCTTCTCCTTCCAATCTGACCTCATGACCTTTCCCATTCAGAGGCCATGAACCCTTTTTCTTCAAGTTCCCCATATTCCACACGAAAAGGTAACTCCTGAGCACCACACACTGGGACCTCACCAGCTGCCCCCCATCTTTCCCGTCAGCCTTGGAAGGCATTCGAAGCTTCAGGCATATGAGTCGTCTCTCTGTTCCATAAGCACCTTCCACTTTTGCCCCTACGGCTTCCACTGTGTCTGGTAGTTGGATGCTCGACTGCCTTTTCTGGAAGTTGAGTTCCACTTAACTTTCAAGGCCCAGCCAGATGTTCTTTCCTCTTTAGGACTCCCCAATCCCTCTATTAATCTCTCCTGATGACATAATTTCCATCTTTTATGAAGGTCTCTCTGGCATGAGGCCTGGGTGTGCGGGTGTTTGTGGAAATGTGTGTGTGTCCCCATTGCTAGAGTGAGAATGTCTGGAGGTCAGGAACTGAATCCTTATCATCTTTGTGTCACTGAAATCAAAGCCACTTGTTGATTGTAGTGGGTAGAATTACGTCTCCCCGCAAGATATGTTTAATTCCTATCCCCCGGTGCCTAAGAATGTGACCTTATTGGGAAATGGGGTCTTTGTGGATGTAATTAAGTTAACATGAGGTCATACTGTATGAGGTGGGCCCTCGTATAATGGCTGATGCCTTATTTAAGTTTCATTTAGTTATTTTGAGAGAGAGAGAACTTGAGTGTGCACGGGGGAGGAGCAGAGAGAGAGGGAGGGAGAGAAAGAGAGAGAGAGAAAGAATCCCAAGCAGGTTCCATGTTCTGGGCTGAGCACCGAGTCCAATGCACAGCTCGATCCCATGACCGGGGAGATCATGACCTGTGTCAAAATCAAGAGTCAGATGCTTAACCGCCGGAGACACTCAGGCGCCCCATGACTGGTGCCTTTATTAGAAGACGGCACTGTGGACACAGACACCTAGACATAGGGAGAATTCCATGTGACCATAAAGGCAGAGTTTGGAACGACACAACTGTAAGCCAAGGAACTCCCAGGATGGCCAGCCACCGCCAGAAGCTAGGAAGAAGCAAGGAGTGATTCT